TAAACGTAATTGAAGTTGAATTAATCAACGTAAAGAATGTTTGGTGACTGAAAACGATAAATTTGTGAAGAGTTACTTACTGCTAAAATTGTAGCTTTTTTTGATTGTCCCCGCACAGATATCTGACGAAGAACATCAGAAACGATCCACTTATCCGTCCCTGCGAGCATCTCTTCAAGAATCTTTGATAACTTGTCGTACTTTTTTTGGATAAACTTTTCGGCAATTGCATCCAGATTGTTACAGTCAACAAACTGACAGTTAATGTCCGAGTCGGCGCCAGAAATTAAAAATTTATTCCATAATTCCATTGTTGAAAATTGTTAGTAATTTTTGTTGAATCTTTCGATGAAGGACTTTTTTCAAAACAATGATGAATTGAATTTATGCAATGGTGATTTAAAGTAACTATCAAACTTTGCGCGTGCAAACTTTTTCTGACAACAAGTTACTAACTTATCCTATTATGAGACTCAAGCTTAAGTGTTGAATAGTTTATGAGACTCAAGTTTTAGTGTTGAATAATCATGAGTAGTATTCATATTCAACTCACAGGCTGTTTTTCTGAACTTCAAATGTTGATTATCAAATGAAACTAGTTAAACTAAACTAATTATAAAATTTGCTAGAATGCTGAAATCCTGTAAATGACAAATGGTACCCATTGTCACGTTACGGAAATGGTTACAATTACCTGTTTTGAAAAAATGCATGCCGAAATCCTGTACATTTTAAATGTTCTAGAAGAATGAATATTGTTGTTCTACAAAATGAACATCAAATACATGTAAAACTAGTGAAACTAAACTAATTGAAAAATCTGTATATACAGTATACAGTATAGAGTATATAGTATACAATATAGAGTGATACAGTGGAACTGTATAGAGTATACAATAGTTTTTTAACCTCTTTCTTTTCGAAAGAAGTCACTTAAGTCACTAAAAGATTTCTTTTAGTTGTGTTAATCATGGAATCCATAGCAAAACACTAAACATTTCTAATTTTGTGTATTGATAATTGTTGTAAAATGTCATGGAATCCGGTCCCTTTCATCTTGGTAAAGTCCCGGATTCCAGAACACGCAGAAGCCAAAAGCCCAGGAATCCATGGTAAAACCGTTTTTTAATGCGTTTTAATATGGTATCGGATTCCAAGATTTTTGTCATGGATTCCGGGATTGGCCACAAAATCGGTGGTTTTAGCTGTCCCGGAATCCATGACAAAAGCTGGTCACATACAAACTGGTTTGAATTAGGAATCCACGGAATCTAAAAACATCAAAGAAAATGCGTGTGTTCCGGAATCCGGGACACACGATTTCTAGCTTTTTGGCACCGATTCCGCAAAAACCAAATAACACGGATTGGCGACGTAATGTATGTTCAATATTTTATCGTCAATATAACTTGTATTTCAAAAAATTTTCCAATCAATCGATCTGTTTCAAATTGTTTACTAGTCTGTTCGTTTATTAAAAAAAAATTGTAAAATATCATAGATTACAAAATATGAAACAAATTTCAAACAAAAACAGAAAAAGTAAA